TATTTGTCATAAATTCTATTGTAATATTTTTAAATATAGAGGAAGGGTTGTTACTATAAATCCCCCAACCCCACCCCCCTTGGATCTGCCCCTCATAGAGTTTGCGTTAGTTGTAATATTATATATATGAAAATATTTTGGAAGGTTTTCCCTCTTGGCCATGATATGTGTGCACAGACGATTGGTATATGGCTGTGGATTGTGCCAAAGAAATTTAAGGACAGCACTGGACAAGAGTTTACTGTGGTTCTTCTTGATTCCGAGGGGATCGACTGCCCATCAGGCTTCAGTGATAACAGGAATTTTACACTGATTGTTTTGTTGTGTTCCATTCTGATCTATAACTCTAGTGGTGTTGCAGGCAGATCAGATCTGGAAAAGCTTGAGTATCCAATCCATAAATGCAATTTACGTAATACATATTTTATGCGGTTATGACGGAATAAGCTTCATAATTCCCCGTCCCGAACCAACGGGACCCTTTAGGAGAAGGCGACGGGGTTTGTTTTAAAAAACACTGTTCTTGTACAAACATTCCTGGCAAAGGGATTTTGAGCTACATTGTTGACAATCTCACAAGCAAATATGGCGCTCTTCCTTCTTTAAAATAATTTTGTTCCTGGCAACCGTTTTTAAGGTCAAAAAAGGCTTCCCTGGAATGTTTTTTCCTGAATTTCTCGCTGGCAACCAATTGTGACTTACAGCTGGCTAACCCGTCGGCTCCTCCTAACCCTTGCTACACAAAGTCACTGTTTACAGTCATATTTTAGAACAATATATTTTCAACATACCTTAACATATGTATAGTTTCATTGTCAAGTTGTCTGAGCGAATTCAGCTTTATACGTCCAAGAAAAATCACCAAGATGAAAAAGATTTCTATGAGGCATTCCCGTATTTCATCTGGCTTTTAAGAGATTTGATTTTAAACTTGCCGCAAAACTGCTCTAACATCAGAGAATATTTCACGAAAAAAGTTAGTAAATCTCTGTCTGTTATGTCGTTGTTATTTTTGTTTTTTTGTTTTAGAATTGTTCATTGAACTCTTAAACATGAAATATATAATCTCTTCTTTAATTCAGGTATTGAATTGCAAAGGAGATTCAAATACCGAAAAATCAAGATTGGCATCTCAAAGAATCTTAGAGTATTTCTCGGGCTTTGATGCCTTTGGTATCCCTCCGCCCACTTATGACTCTAAGGTAAGTTTTATATCTCTTTTTTATATTGTTCGAGGCTATACTTACATGATAAAGATATTTTTAAATCATAGGTCATGGAAGACTTGGATGGCAGAAAGAGTGAAGTCAATCCAGAATTCCATAAACAATTCGAGCTTTTCAGAGCTTTCATACATACCAAACTGTCACCCAAAAAGGCCATCAAAAAAGGAGAGTTTGTGACTGGTGAAGGTAAATCGTGCTTTGAATATAAAATAAACAAACAATGAATTGATCGTTTTCAACCATTCCCATGAGATTCAAAAGATAAAAGGCGGCCATGGAGGAATGAACAATAGATACTAATGAGAAATCCTTTTGTTGAAGTTCCTCCAAGATGGCCGCTTTGACAAAGAATAACATTTTTGATAAAACTCATAACACACTGCTTATTGTTGGGTGGAATTATTCAATATCTGAAGTAGATCATGACAAATGAGCTATACAACACTATAAAAATTATTTGTACATTTTCACAGGACTAGCAGCACTAGTCCAGCTTTATGTAGACGCTCTCAACACTCCGGGCGCTGTGCCCAACGTAGAAGAGTCCTGGGATACATTTGCCAATACCAAATGTCGTGAAGTATTGGAAGATGCTTTGAGGACATACCAACAGGAAATGACGTCATTCGTGGAGAATATGATGCCTTGCGAAGCCGATGAGCTAAGATCTGCGCATGAACAAACCATGGAAAAATGTCTCGAAACGTTTAAARAAGAGACAYGTTTYTTCTCTATTGATAGTGTGGCGCCGYATTTGCAGGAATTGACAGTAAGTTATTGGTCACTGTGAGGGAAAGGCGATTTAGAGGTCGCTCAATTCAGACCATGTGATGGTTTAGGTCTAGGGAGGTCTTTTTGATTTAAGTTTATTAAGATTCTGCAACCAGCTGATATAGAGGTTATCGGTACCACCTCAGGTCAGCCTAAATACTTGATATTGACGGCGTTCATATTTTATCCTCAAGGGGAAGACAGATAACCTATTGCTTAGATGGCTTCAAACAAACAAACAAAGAACTGAAGAGAGCTGCAAAGCATTAATCAAAGAGCTTGAGAAAACAATTTTGGATCCAGTTCTTAGTCGCCTCGTGGGCCCTGATGGATCTCAGATGGATTTTAATGAGCTCGTAGAGGCATATAAACTAATTGAGCAGAGATACAAAGATGAAGGGCGTGGTGATCTGGAAACTAAAGCACTTGCTTTTGTGGATATGAATTCAGTAAATGATTTTAAAAGTTTCGTCTTTTCACTGGAAAAAATCGCGAGCTTTAAAGGTTGTAAATTTGATATAAATATGATGTAAGTGTCCAAAATTCTGTAAATTTGATGTAAATGATTTCCATTAAATTTGCAGAATTTTGGAAATTTATCATATTTACATCAAATTTACAACCTTTAAAGCGCGCGATTTTTTCCAGTGTTTATGGATAATATTTGATGATAAGAGCAACCTCTTCTAAGGTGGTTGAAAATCACAACCTAGGACATATAGTAAGCTTGTTGAATCAAGATAGCCAATTCTTCATGCATATAATTGTTAGTCTTGGATTTTACCACTCACAGACAGCCTCCTATTACAGCTCATCCCATTTATTTCAAAAATGGGAATTCAAAAGG